TCTTGGGAGCTTGGACTTGGGGAAAGCCATTTTAAACAAGAAAAGTTTACAACGGCAAGATAAAATGGACAAGAATCAATAAAGAAAATTCCTTAACTCTGGACAGAACTTAGGAAAAGTTTCTGATAAGAAAAATAAACCTGGCCAGGCATGGTGGCTCACGCCTGTAATCCTAGCACTCTGGGAGGCCGAGGCGGTAAGATTGCTTGAGCTCAGGAGTTCAAGACCAGCCTGAGCAAGAGTGAGACACCCTGTCTCTACTAAAAAATAGAAAGAAATTTGTCCAGGCAGCTAAAAAGATAAAAAATTAGCCCAGCATAGTGGTGTATGCCTGTAGTCCCAGCTACTAGGGAGACTGAGGCAGGAGGATCATTTGAGCCCCGGAGTTTGAAGTTGCTGTGAGCTAAGCTGATGCTACAGCATTCTACCGGGCAACAGAGCAGACTCTGTCTCAAAAAAACAAACAAAAAAATAGGAGAAGAAAACTAAACCAGTGATTCAAATGATAAGTGGATTCAAGGAAAACATGCAACACAAAATGTAAAGGAAATATGGCAAGAAAAAAAAAGTAGGGAAAAGAGGAAAAACATAAAAGAAACAGAAGATGAGTTCCACTAAGTAAATAGCATCTGAATTTTAAGGAAAAGCAATATATACCAGCTTAGTAGCAATTTGCCTCTAAGTATGGCTATCTCCCACCTGAGGGCCTGGGAAATTATATTAATACAAATAGGCCCTTCCTTCTGAATTATTATAATGGGTGAAGGTAGGTTAAAACAAACACCAAAGATGGTCCTCTTCCTTTTCCTCCTCTGCCTCTCCTCCTCCTCTTTTTTTTTTGGAGAAGGCTGGGGTTAGGGGTTATGGGGACTGGGGAGAGCCAGGGGTGGGGCTAACTGGGGACTCTAGTACCAACTGGAAGGGTTTTAACTGTATATATATGAACATTATTATAATGAAAAAAATAGCACAAACTAAAAAAAAAAAAAATGTTTTCCTGCCTTCCCTTCAGTGATAAGCCACTGCTAAGTCACCAGCAGCCCAGGGCAGTCTCCCATATTCCCTGTACCCTGAAGATGGACCTCCGATCACTACAGTGCATAGATCCTGTCATATTTATAGGAAATATAAGAGATCACACCACTGCCACTGTCCTGCTCAGCCCATCAAGTAAATGTCGAATTTGAGGCAGCACTGGCTGGGCCCGCCAAGATGAAGGGCATGGACACAGAGCAACACAAAAAGGGGCCTAGACAAGAAAACAGAATCCAGAAACCTGACAGGGCAGTCTTCATTTCTTACTGAGATGAAGAGCATCCCAGCCCCAGGTGGCAAGCGGCGAGAGGCTGCATTCATCAGCCTCGCCAAGCAGGCCAGGTCAGCTCCAATTACTCCTGGGCAGTTGAGTTCACTGATTTCTGTGGCTCTGGGCCAGGATTGCATAACAGACAATGAGGCCCTAGGGGCTGCGGACGACCAGGAGGGGCCCCGCGGCTCCTGCCTCGTCGTAAGGCCCAGGTTTCCCGCCAGGCCGCGTGTGCTGCTGCCCTCCGGGACCTGTTGCAGGGAAGGATTTGGGGAGCGCCCCACAGCGTGGAGACGGGATTCTTTCCCCAACTAAGCCACTGGCAAACGCCATTACCTTAGGGGAAGGCGCTTTGTGAGACCTCCCACCCGGTCAGCCAAGAGGCCACGAGATGGCAGCAGAGGACACAGCTTGGGACACACAACCTGAGCCATCTTGTCAAAATGCAGATCCAGAAACGGAAGAGAATTCGTTTGCGAAATGTTGTCTATCATCATGCATTCAAAAAGAATGAATGACTGAATTTCTAAGGAATGAGGGTAAAATTCATCAGCATGAAGAATTTCCCAACCATCACAGAATTCAGCTGCACATGAAGCCACATATGAACTGGATGTTTAAAACAAGAGATGGGGGCCAAGGCCTTTAAAAAACTGACGTCAGCGGGAACCTTGTCACAGTTCTTTCTGCGAAGTTCCAATTCAAATAAAATGAGTGACCTCCACAGAGGCTGCCAAACTGATGAAGAAAGGGGCAGAGACAGTGGTTGCTGGGAAGCGCTGCAGCAAAGCAGAATGCTGTCATGGAGCAGCCAGGGGCTCTGGCAATAGGCAGTATGGAGGGGGGAATAATGAGGAACACAGGGCAAGTCTCAAAGAGTCTTCGCTTGCAGCTGGCAGAGGATAATGCACAGGAAAGGGGCATTAGAAGCACTGGGATTAAATCCCAAATCTTCTGACTTCTCATCTAATGTGCTGTTACATATTCCCTTGACTCCCTAGTTGTGACTACCAAAAATGTCTCCAGACATTGCAAAATATCCTCTGGGGGGAACAAAATGACCCCTCTCTAAGAACCAATGCCCTAGAGGGATACGACTTAAAAAAAAAAAGGTTTTAAGAACTTAATGTTTAATCTTTTCAAGACACTTGTATTTCACAAGGTCTGCTTGAACTGTATTGTATATCCAAAATGTGAATTCCTACTGTGTGCTTGTATGATGCAGAGACTGATAATTGAAAGACTGTAAGCTGAATCTGGCTCTTGATTTTTAAAAAATTATCAACATTCAAAAATCAGAAGATTTCATATTTAGAAAGTCAGAATTTCTGACTTCTATAGGAAAATTGGAGCTATGGTGCTACCAAGTCTACAGTCCCATATGGTAATACATTAGGTGGAGTTGAGTGGGGGGTAAAGTCTTTAAATAGAATGTGTGCTCTCTGTTTGCCACAGTTCCCACCACACCGTATTACCTCAAATCCAATCTGCTTCACTCATTTAAACCATTTCTTGCCTCTATAGGCAATTTATTTTCAATCCCTGAAGTGCTTTATAGTTTTAAAGCACTTTTCCATGTGTGATTTTATTTTAGCCTTGCTACTCCAGTAGAGAGAGGATAAACATTATAACCTCCATGTGAGCAAAATGTAGTTCAGAGAGGTTTGACTTGCCCAAGCAACAGAATCAGAATCTAGATATTCTGATTCCCAGTCCCATTATTTTTTGAGGAAAAAATTCTATTAAGAACTTCACTTAGGGGCTTCTGAAACCAAACCAAAGAAGTAGATAAGGGGATATCTGCTGGAACAGATGAGTTTTGACTGCTAAACTGTTCAAGAATCACAAGTGATTAATCCTTTTTCTTTTTCTTTCTTTCTTTCTTTTTTTTTTTTTTTTTTTGAGACAGAGTCTCACTTTGTTGCCCAGGCTAGAGTGAGTGCCATGGCATCAGCCTGGGCTCAAGCGATCCTACTGCCTCAGCCTCCTGAGTAGCTGGGACTACAGGCATGCGCCACCATGCCCGGCTAATTTTTTTTTTGTATTTATGTTTTTTTAGTTGGTCAATTAATTTCTTTCTATTTTTAGTAGAGACAGGGTCTCGCTCAGGCTGGTTTCGAACTCCTGACCTTGAGCAATCCACCTGCCTCAGCCTCCCAGAGTGCTAGAATCCTTTTTCTTTTAATGAAGTGTTTCTGCTTTCTCTCAGATTCTAGGCATACAAGAAAAATTGCCCTTCCCGCCTCCTTGGTATTGAGTGTGGCTATATGACTTGCTTTGGCCAATGAGTAGAAGTGACATTTATCCCTTCAGGGCAGAAGCATTTAGGAGCCCATGAACAATTCTTCATGCTTATTTCACATTCTGAGGTGAGTAACCTTAAGCCTCATGGTGACGTATTAGGATCTCAAAATGGTGAAGCTCCATCAGCTTGGGTAGCCGAGCAGAACCCATTGCCAGCCTACTTTGGACATGTAGTATGAGAAATCAACCTCTGGTTTTAAATAACTGAGGTTTTGGCAGTTACCACAGCATAACCTAGCCCAGGAGCCACATGCGGCCTTGAGGCCACGGGTTCCCCACCCCTGAAACCTGATTAATACACTGTTCATTTGCATGGTCACTGAGCTTCTCTAGGAACTGGAATGCAATATCTAGACTTCTGACCACATCACTAAAAGCTGGAGGACAGAGCAAATTGTTGATTTTCTTCCCTCAGCTTCCTCAACTACCACCACCTTCTGACTTTGAAAAAAAATCATTTTCTCAGGGCCCTTCATTATTGGCTTCCCATTGTTCTGGCAGTTAGATTGGAGGGAGGAAGAAATGAGGGAGGCCCAGATATCTTCTCCATTCCACAGCCTGATTGCAAAACTGTCCCCACCCACTAGTATTCACACTTAACCTTGCCACAGTAAGACAGACTATTACCACTCCTTACGTGTCACAACAGAAAGGAGCTGCAGCGGGCGCCACTGCAATGTCAAGGCAAGGCAGCCAGGCTGCGCCCTATCCTCGCTGGTGGCTGGGCTTGACTAAGCCGGGAGAAGCAGTGGTCTCTAGGGAAAGAAGCCTTCTCAAATGGGAACAAAAATGAGTGTGAGGCGAACACCCATCCTGGGCACTGTGTGAATTTGGGGTGAGTTCTCTTAGTACTCCAGCTCTGGCCAATATCTAGTTTTTAGCGGCTAGTAAACTGCCTGGCTGGTGCTGGTGGGGCTCCCAGTTTTCCCGGGCTTTTCCCAAGCCCACCGGAGCACACTTGCACAGGTCATCAACGGTGGGGTTTGAGCACAACGAGAGTTTCAGCACCGCGTCCGCAGCCAGGATCAAAGGTCGGCGGGGCTGCCTAGAGGCCGAGCCTGCGCAGTGCCGCTCCCGCCTTGGAGAGAAAGGGTGGCGACAGCGCGGGCTCGCTACACCAGCGTGCTCGCAAGAGGCGGGAAAGTGTTAGGTCGGGTGGCAGCGTCCCTCCCTCCGCCTGCCTTGTCCACCCATCTGCCCAGCGAGCTTGTCCTCCACTGACGCCCGGGCCCCGGGGGAGGGGGACAAGAAAAGGCCCGCGCTTCTGACTCATCATTTCCAGCCCCTTTCTCGCGCGCGCTCCAAGTCTCAGGACTTTGGACCTGGGCACTCGCGCGAGGGGGTGCGGCGACAGCTGCTGGGCAACCCCAGCTCTGCTACGCGCCAGCCTCTAGCTCTCGCCAGTCTCTGAAGCTGCCGGCGACAGGGATGTGGATCCAGAGTCAGGTCTCAGTTGCCGTGGCTGGGGTGACGGCGCCCCCGCGCAGGACCGCCTGCCCAGCTCCTCCCCGAACGCGGGGCCAGTGGTCGCGTCCGAGGAAACTCGGCTAGGCCCTGACTTCCAGCGCCTCGCGTCACTCAGCAGATACACAGCGCCCCCACCGCGGAGGGAAGGCTCTTTATTTCCCAGCAGGTCACGGGGTTGCGGGGTGTCCTGGGACTTGTAGTCCCCGCTAGAGCTACAGGGACTGGCTGGAAGGGGAAACTGGAGCATCCCTGAATTGGGTTCAGAGAGTTGGCGTGTGTGGGAACCGGGGCTTGGAGTGGATGGAATTGTGAAAGGTGGACAGAAGAGAATAGTGAGATAAGGAAGATGTGAGGCTGTATGGAAAGGCAGCGGGGAAGGAGGATAGGGATGCCAGGGGGGGTAGCAGCGTTTCAGGGCAGCGAGGGAGGACGGTCGTGCAGGTATATTTTCCCCTAGCGAGAACAGGTGAAGAAAGGGGCCCGCTCTGAGTAATAACTGAAGGCACCCCAACAGACATCAGGTAGTTCTCAAGGGAGTCCAGCTAGCTTCTGAGTTGGGTGGGGTGGGATGCAGGAATGTCTGGAGAGCGCTGCCTCAGGGTAGCAGGACAGCAACATCTGTCTGCTCCCCTTTTCTCACTCTCTCACTTGTTCAGTTTCCTGTGCTGGCCACCGTGGGACCACTCTCCAAACCAGGAACCTCCTCCAACTCAGAAAGGCCCTGAAAACCAGACAGATGTATAAGCAAATTGTAGAGGTGAGAAAGGAGAAACCACAGAGAGAAGCAACTGCTTCCTCCTCCTCCGTTTTTTCTCGTGTTTCCCAAAGCCTTTCCAAAACTTAGGCAGCTTCCTAATGCTTCCCCACTCTTCTATCCCCAATCATTTAGATACCCACCTCTTGCCCACCATTAAGGGAGAAATGTCCAAAGCCAGAAAGCCAATTAGTTTCATTCTAGGACCTCTTCATTTCCCTCCTGCCCCATTGTTTTCCCTTAAGTGCCACTGACCAGGATAGCCAGTGGAAAAATTGGCTGGCAGCTAGCTGCTTTCTCCCTGCCCCCAATACCTCCTGCAGCTCCTGGTACTGCAGACTCTGGCTCCTGCAGCATCCTGGCTTCCTCTGGCTCAGCAGGAATAGGGCATACACTGAGATCAGCACTCCTGCTAGGGTGAAGGCCTCAGCGCTGAGCTCCAGCACCAGCAAGCCAACCAGCTGCAGGTAGACAGGGCTGAGGGTGCTGCAGGGACCCAGCACCTGTTTGCTTCTGCCCTTTTGCCTCTCCATTTCCTCTTGCCTCCTCATCCTCCCACCTTTTCCTTCATTCACCCATACCTGGGAGGGTGCGGTTGGGGCAGACCCCAAGGCTGTCTTCATCACCTCGACCACCACCACGATGAAACCCAAGATCAAGTTGAAGGTGTTGAATATCATCATGGCCCGCACCTGCCAGTTAAGCCAGCTCAGCCCTGCCCAGCCTAGGAGACTCATTCCAACCTCAAGCCCCACCTACAGCCTAGCTGAAAACAAAACTCAGCTCCTGCTGGTCCACCTCCAAACAGGGCCATCATCCCCCTAACTTTCTTGCTCTCCCCCATCAGTCTTTTAGGCCAGCCAGTGTCAGAGAGCTAAGAGGATGAGTCAACACTTAGAGTCACTTCCTGGGCTGAGGGGTATATGTGTGTCTATTTTGTAGGGTAAGAGGACAATACTGCATTCTGTTTCCCTCTCACCTTCCAGAGACGGGGTGCTCTGCGAAGCTCAAGGGTGACAATCCCAGTGAGGAGACCCTGAATGGTGAGAAGGGCAAGTGTTGAGCTCTGGCCCCATTAGGGAGGGGCCTCCAGGACCTTCCTTCCACCCTCCTTTGCAGTGGATCTTACTGAGACCCCAGGGCCAAGAGGCAGCACTGTGGCCATGTGACAATCAGAGTTCAGGCAGGCAACGGAGACAGCAAAGGGCACCACAGTCACTGCCAGCCATAGCTGACTCACCTGGGGGACAGGACAGGTAGTTAAGAGGGACTGTCAGGGATTCCCTTCCCTCCTGCCAACTCCTGCCTCTTCTAGAGCTTGGCAGTTGGGATGAATGCACCTGGAGGAAAGTAGTCAACCAAGGGCATAGAAGGAGGTGATAATTAAAAAGTAAATATCATTTTTTTTCTGCCTCATGTTGTACTTTAGTTACTTACCTGTATATTTTCCCCACTGATAGAAGCTACTTGGAGATTAAGGGTCTTGCCTTGTTTATTTCTGTTTCCTCCACCCTCCTCCCACTCAGAGCCTAACACAGTTTCTGGCACATGGTAGATGCTCACTAAACATGGATGAAAGGAATTGAATTAGGTACAAGTGGACATGCTGAGACCTGGGGTGGGGCAGCTTGGCCTCACCGCCAGCACCAAGAGGTGCCCACTCTGCCTGTGCCTTGCCCACTGCTGTAGCTTTCTCAGACGGAGGCTGCATCTCTCCTCCTCTTGCTGACCAGCTCTCTCCTCCATGGGGCCCTTGACCACAAGAGCTGGGTGCTTCCTAGGTTGGGAAAAATGGATTATGGGTCCTATCAGGAAACAGGGCATTCAACATCTCTTTCAGCTACCACTCTGCCCACTCCCAATATCCAGGGAGTTGAAGCCCAGGGCCTCACACGTACCTAGTCTGAAGCAGCTACTCCAAAGGCTTGGAACCCAGCTGGGTCCTAGGACTCTTGAGGAGCCTGGTAGCTCAGAGCAGAGGCACAAACTTCTTGGCGAGAAAGGCTGTCGGGGCTGGGGTGTGGTAGGGCAAAGATCCCTGTGAAGGCCTAAGGATCTAGGGAGTGGCCCTGGGTAGACACCAGCCTCAGTTCAGTCCACAAGATGCCCATCCCTGCCTCACTCTGTTCCCATTTCCCCTTGTCCCCATTTCTGTCCATCCCAGCTTCCCCTTCTGGTTTCACTCACCTCATCCCCATGGACACTATCAACCTTGGACCTCAATTTCCCCTCATTTCCATCTAATCTTTCTCCTTTCTTTGGTTTCCTCCTCAAATTACTTGCTTTTCCCTGGAGAAATCCCACTTTTTGTCTAGATTGGTCCCCTGTCATTCCCACTTGCAGCTTTGTCCCCAGAGCAGGTATGATTTAATTCTACTGACTTTCATGTTTCTCACTATCTGGACACTTTCTTCTTTTTCCTTCCTTTCTTAAAGTGTTTATTCTGAATTAAACACTGACTAAGTAGATGGGGAGCCTTGTTTATGGTGAGGATTGCTTTTGACTCAGTGATAACCTGCAGCTAGATATACATGGAAGATGGTCCTCAAATGGTCAGTCTTGGGAAGGATACTATTGCAACAATTAATATTTTTGAGAGAGAAGGTGCCTTGCACGTAGACAGGCCTAGACTAGAATCTTAGCTCTGCCACTTTCCCAGCTGTGTGACCTGGGACACGTTATTCTACCTATTTGAACCTCAGTTTGCTCTCTGACAAAAGAGAGCTAACGATATGACTGTAAAGGGTTGTTAATTCACAGCAAGTGCTTAATAACCATTATTGCTGCTGATGAGGTCACACTGATGCCCACATACTAAAAGGCTTATTCAGAAGCTAAGCTAGGGACATTTATTTCTACAGTAGGAAGCAAAACAAGCTGGGCCCAAATATATACTCTATACATCAAAGATAGGAAAGGCCCATCTTGAGGCAAAGCCTCAGGTCTGGAGGCAACCAGACCTTTGTCCAAATCCCAGATCTACCTGTGTGCCCTTGGGCAAATTGCTTAATCTCTCTGTTTCCTTATCTATAAAGGAAGATTTAGAATACCAATCTCAATGGGTTGCCTTGAGCATTAAAAGAGAAAATTCATATGAACCAGCTTAGCCTAGCACCTGGTACTATAAGTGCTCAATAAATGTAGTGGCTATCATCATCATCATCATTTATTATTATTGATAACATAAGAAAACTGAGCCAGAAGACCCCTGGGAGTTAGTACCATAAGGCAGGGTTCTGGGAGACAAAAGGCCTTCTTTATAAGTCCTTTCTGCCCTGCCCAGTGCTGAGCAAACATCATTGAAGCACTGTATCCACTCTTTCCTGGGGAGTGTGAATCACATTTTAAAGGGATTCAGAGAACTGTTGTGTGTCCACTCCTCTCTCCTAATTCCCATGTGCATGAATTTTATTTCGTGGTGATGTGAGATGTTGGGCTTGCACTGAGGATCCCTGAGTTTGCAGGCCAGTGGAGAAAGGTACTCCTTGAGCCTCATTTTCCCCTACAAGTTAGGACTAATTATATTATAGAGGATTACTGTAAGGATTATATGCCATTAAATATGTGAACATGCATTCAGTAAATATTGACTTAATCTGAATATACTACTTACAAATTTGTAGCCCCCGTCTAGACTACAATCTCCTGGAAGGAAGGTAGCACATCCTTCTCATCTGTGCATCCCCTACAGCGCTGAGTACAGTGCCTGGTACTTAGTAAGCACTCAGTAAATATTTGTTGTATTGAAGAGCCATCAAAGTGACTTGAGGAATGGAAAATAGAATTCGAGAGGAAGGAGAGGGAATTGTTTATAAAGAACAGAAAGGACCGAAGAGTAACTTTAATAATGTTTCTTATACGGCCGACATTAACTATCTCTATAATCGCCCCTCCTCCTCCCCCCAAAGAGAGACAGAAATTGTAAGGGAGAGGCTTTGAGATAAAACCCCAGGAAGAACTTCCCGAGTCTGTGCATGTTGGGGCAGAAAGAGCGGCAGAGCCAACTCCTTCCCTGGTATGTCCGGGTTTAGGGTGGGAGGGGCAGTGCTGCTTGGAGGCTGGGGGAAGGACGAGATGACCTTTCAAAATCTCTTCCAGTCTCCTGTTGGAATCGTCTGTGCGCCCCACCCCCGCTCCCTCCTTTTCTCCCTCCCTCCGACAGCGCCCCCAGTCTCCAAACTGCCCGCACCCCGCCCCTGGCGGCCGCTTCTCGCGGCTCCCGGGGTCCCCAGCTCCCTGTCCCCGGAGCGAGAACCCAGCTCCCGCGCGGCTCCCAGCCCCGCCGCGCCGCCCCCCGCATGCTAATGGCCGGGCCGCCTCCCGCCGCACACAATGCGGGCCAGGGCCGGGGGGGCGGGAGGGGGGGCCGGCCGGGGGCGGGGGGGCCGGGGCCCGGCGCATCTCCCCCGGCCCCACGTAACGCTGACGCCCGCGCCGCCGGCCCGCCGCCGCCGCCGCCGCCGCCGCCGCCCGCTCCGCCGCCGCCGCCCGGGGCTCGTGAGTAGCCGCTCCCCCACTCCCGGCCCCCGTCCGCCACCCGCCCCCCCCCCGGCCCCTCCCTCCCGGAGGGCCGCTCCGCGCGCCCGACTCGGAGCAGGTGCAGGGGGCGGGGGCCGGGGAGGGGCGCCGGCTCGGCCCCAAGCAAACTTCGCCCAGAGCTCCTGGGGGGGGGGTGGGGGTGGCGGCCTCAGAAGCCTGGAGAGCTAGGGGGGCCCCGAGAGAGGGGGGGCCAGGTGGAAGAGCCGGAGGAGCGGACACCAAAGGGGAAGGGCCAACGGGGGCGGAGTGGGGGCCGGGGTGGCGAGTGTCTTTGTAGGGGCCCGAAGGCAGGGCGCGAGGGGCCTGGGGGGTGCGGGGCGGCTGAGCCTTGAGCCTGAGTGGATGCGCGCCCCCCGGCCCAGGTAGGGCTGGTGGGGGAAGGGGAAGGAACCCAAACTCTCCGGGAGCCGGGGCGGGGGGTGGCGGTGGAGAGGAAAGGATGGGGGGTGCCTCCCTCTCTGCGTCCCAAACAAAGTGTCACAAAGAGCTCGGCCCGCGGCTGCAGCGGAGGCGGCTGTAACTCAGCTTTTGTTCTCCTGGCCAGGGGTAGCTGAGCCCTGGCCTCCCTATCTCCCAACCCTGCCCCCCCATCATCCTTCTGGCTTATCTTTCCCGGGAGGAGTCTGAGGTGCTGCTGGGAAAACCTCTCGTGTGGGATCATAGGTCATACCCTACTTGCCAACCTATTTCTGGGAGGGGGATTTTCCCAGAGGCTCTTTTGCCCACCCCCACCTCCCCCACTTCCCAGTCTGGGGACTGAAGCTCATGTGGGTGCCTAAGACTGACTTTTCTAGGGTCAGCTTCAGTTAAGAGGAGTTAGGGCTGGCTATATGTCCCCCTTCCCCCAATCCAGGTCCTCCAGAACTTTCAGAATCGGGGTCATGTTAGGACATGCCTCAGGGATAAGATTCACCGTGGTGGGTTGGCAGCAGGTGAGCAGGTGTACCTTTGCCTTGCTTCCTGCTGTCCGTTTGGAGTCCATGACTGAGGTTCCATGGCCTCTACTGAGGAGAGTGAGGATGGAAGGCCAGAGGCTTTACCAAGAACTAGGTGTAAAAGGCAGGCAAGCTGTGGAGAGGGGTAGATTTGGAGGAGCTATCTGAGCAGTTAGATTCAGAGGGCCCGGTGAGGAGACCATAAAAGTGAACAACTGGCACTTCTGTGTGATCAAGATAGTCTTGACTCTAGACCACCTAAGAAGCTCCCTTTCCTTTTAACCCCATCTAGTGCAGTGGTAATCATAATTGTTAGCAGACTTGGGAGGTGTAGTTTTCTCAACAGAGGGAAAAACATCAAGTATTAAAGATAACCAGAGACAGAGGCCTAGTTATAACGAAACCCCAGAAGTCCTGAACCCCTGCCCCTTACACTTTGACCCTAAAAACTTTTGAACCACAAAGCTTGAGGGACAATCTTTGTGGTCCATTTAGCAGATGCTTCTAGGTACCAGTTGTTTCTAAGTCTTTTTACCAACCATTCCATCCTTTTCTATTCAGTAAGGTTTGATGGTCCACACCCCTTCCCCACCAGTGTTGTCTTAGCATGTCAGAATAATTGGCCTATTGCTTTTGAAAGATTTCTGATCTCTATCCCAGGCCCTACATCCCTATGGAATCTAAATAAGGGCAAGATAACCCCTGATTCCCAGTGGGGGTGGAAAGTAGGTCAGTGCTACTGTCTGGCCAAGTCTCATGGCAGTGTTTAAGGGCCGACTATAGAAAACTCTGTGATTATTGTCCTCTGGCAATACATGCATGACTTAGGATCCAAGTCAGTTCATAGAATCCCAGTCCCTGTCAGTGCTTTTCTCTATTGAGAAAAAATCATGGGCTCAGACACCTAGAACCTGGTTTGCTGTGGAGACGATTTGGGAGATCTTGACTGAGCCTAGGAAAGTCTCTCAGTGAGTTTTGTTGATTTTAGGCCATCTCCTGGGGAAACTTTCCCTGCTGGGGAATTCAGCCTCAGTTTGGGCCTTCTTGTATATTACTGTATTTCCATCCTGTAACTTGTTATGTGCAAAGTGGTTTTTTATTGTTGTTTTGTTTTGAGAGGGGAGCTTTGCCCTCTTCCTACTTTTCTTGCCTCAGGTATGAGGCCAGCTTCCCTTGAAGTAATTTTGCTTGCTATCCTAAAACAGTTTTAGAGGCCCTGGAATCTTCTCAGAATCAGACTATGTGCGCATAGGTTAGTCAGCTATGACCATGCAGTATTCCCAGCTCCCCCTCTCCCCACCATCTGCTTCCTCTGAATATACCAGATTGGCTGTACACCAGGATGTTCCGGGAATCCCCAGGAGAGCAACAGAATGTGATGGACCCAAATATGATGCCTCAGTAACTCATTCCAGGATGTGCAAACTGTGACTGTCGGGACACTCCTTATAGCTAATTAAAATTCTTCTAGTTACATCTATTTTCTATTACCTCTGTCTATTTTCAGTGATATCCAAAAGGCCAAAATAATCCCTCTGGTATCACTGGGTGTTTTTTTTTTTTTTCCTATGGTTCCCAGATAGGAGTTAAAAAAAAATTCTTTAGCTTTTCTCAGTGCCTTATCTGTGATGCTAAAATGGCAAACAGGGCCCCTCTATCCCTTCATAGCTCTATCTATGGTACTGAGGTGGCCAAAGTGGCTTCTCTGGTAGCCCACTGCACTCTCCATGGTACTGAAGGAATGACCATTTATTTTAACATTTCTCTGGGGTCCAGAAGGGTCCTGTGACTTAGAAGCACAAAACTTTCTTCTAGCTGGCAGGGACTATCAATATAAATTAGTCCAACCCCCTTATTTTACAGATGAGTAAACTGAGAGGTTAAGTGATTTACTGAAGGTTGTAGGGCTATCAATGGTCAGACTGGGCCCACAATAGCCTTATACCCCTCAGACCTGTTATAACTCACCTTTCATGATACTATTCAGTGAGCCCAGCTAGGCTCTTAGTCCCAGGAAGGGAGTTTATTTGGAGAATCCAGAGGATGAGAGTAGGTGCCCTAGTTTGGAGCTATAGAAAGACACGTATTAAATGGTAGTGGAGGTCATCTAGTGACCCCTGGACAAGGACATTTTGTTAATTAACCTTCTGCTAATAATACTACTATAGCCCAGATTCCACAGGTAACAAGTACCTTCCCCTTAATGGAGTCTTACCACATCCACTAAATGTTGAAAATTAAAGAAGCCTTGGACCTCCAGAGCCTTTTCTCTCTGCTGATAAGCAGGGCTGACTCTTGGCCCAGTTCTCTTCTATTAAAGATCCTTAAGCTAAATAATGCTTGAATCCTTTTCTTTCTCAGTAACCCATTTCAGTTTCATAATGCCTATTGTAAGGAAGTTCTTTATGTCTCAAATATTCTTTCTATCTTAGGCAAAAAAAATAGGTTAGGCCTACATTCATTTAGCCTTGACCAGGCACAATTCTATACGAAGGCAAAAAGGCAGACTGGATGACTTCTGGTCATCCTCTCAGCCCTATTTCCATGAATCTTAATTCTGGGGTTGCCTCTAAGTCCTAATGTTGACCTCCTCTGCAGCTTAGAATCAGGAGTACCTCCACCCCATCCTCTTCCTCTCAGTGCTCTTCTGCTTTCCTAGCACTGGAGGTCTGCACGTCCCAGGCCTAGGGAATTTTAGCCTGGAGAATTTTAACCCCTTCCTGCTCAGAGCATGTGCTGAGCCCCTATCTGTGCAGATGGCCCAGCCCCGCCCCCCATCCCTCACTCCAGCCTCTTGAGCTCAGAGCCAGTGTAATCCTCCTCTTGTGTGAGGGAGCCTCTCCCCTGCAGAGAGGAGGAAAGCCTGCCTCGGAACAGCCCTGGACAAAGGGGCTCAGATGCCCCATCATACCACAGGCTCCAAGGTTTGAAACAAGGGGATGAATCCTACACGGTATTTGCAGTTTTTAACCCTTTCCCCAGGCTGGCCGTGCCCCTTAACTTCCACTCCTCCCCCAACTCTCTCTTCATTCCCTCTCCCTCTGGCTCTCTCCCCCTTCATGCCCCTCCCCCTCTGTCTGTCTTCAGACTCTCTGCTGCTGGGAGGTGTTTCTCTCCCATGCATGAATGAGTCTCTGTAATGAATGGAAATGAATGGATCAGGAATCCAGGCGGAGGGAGGGAGAATGAGGGGGGAAAACACAGAAAGACAGGGTAAGGGCAGAAGGAAGCAGTGGAACCTGGAAGGATGTTTGTCTGGCTGGTCAGTTAAGGGTCTGAGAGCAACTGGGGAGCATGGCAGGCCCACCCCATTTGTTAATTACACTGTGCAGCCCAACCCAAATGGGAGAGGGGTATACTGTGATGGTTTCTCTATCACCAGGGAGTGGGATGGTAGTGGTGGTGCTTTTGGACCAGATATTTAAAACGTCTAATTTGGGGAAGAAATCTCGGTTATTAGGGAGTTTCATGGGTTTGGCAAATCAAGGGGTACAGTTTTTTAGTACAGCAGCCTCCTGTGCCTCAGATGCAAGTAGGGAGAAGGGATAGGTTTTAGGAATACAGGGTGCTAAGATTCTGGGGTAGAGGGTGATTCCACTGCTGAAAATCAGGGCTCATCTTTTCCTCCAAATCTGTCTCTCTTGCTTTAGCTCCTCAGCACCTGTTGCCTTCATTAGCAGCTTTTCCTCCTCTTCCCTGCACTCCCCAGAACCAAAGAATGTGAAGGGGGTCCATGGAGGTGAGTGAAGCTCTGGCCTCAACTTATAAGTACTTATAACTGCATACTCCTCCCCTGCCTACCTCTTTCTTTGACCTCCCGTTATTAGAAATTATCTCCTTGGCTCCAACATCTCAATTCCCATCCATCCCCCAACTTCCCAAGGTGAGTGGCACCCAGTGTTCCTGGTTCAGGCCCCAGTCCACCTTCTCTTGTGTTCTTCTGGTCCTCTATCCCCTTGTTTCCTCCACAGCGTTTCCGTTCCCCACTCTTTGCTCTACTTCCATCTTTCTCCACAGGGCTCACGTCCCCGTGCTCCAGGCGGCCACTTAGCGCCGTCGCCGCCAGCTTTCGACGGCGAGCTGGATCTGCAGCGCTACTCCAACGGGCCAGGCGTGGGCGCGGGGTCGCCTGGGATGGGAGCAGTGACCTGGTCTGAGAGTCGTGCAGGCGAACGGCGCTTCCCCTGCCCTGTATGCGGGAAGCGCTTCCGGTTCAATTCCATCCTGGCTTTGCACCTGCGGGCGCATCCAGGCTCCCAGGCCTTCCAGTGCCCACACTGCGGCCACCGCGCAGCTCAGCGGGCTCTGCTGCGCTCGCACCTGCGCACGCACCAGCCCGAACGGCCACGTAGCCCAGCTGCGCGCCTGTTGCTGGAGTTGGAGGAGCGCGCGCTACTGCGCGAGGCCCGACTGGGGAGAGCCCGAAGCACAGGGGCCATGCAGACCACCTCTGCCACTGAGGGTCTGGCGCCGCCCCAGGCTCCTTCATCATCCGCCTTCCGTTGCCCCTACTGCAAAGGCAAGTTTCGCACCTCGGCGGAGCGGGAACGCCACCTGCACATCCTGCACAGGCCCTGGAAGTGCGGCCTGTGCAGTTTCGGCTCCAGCCAGGAGGAGGAGCTGCTGCACCACAGCCTGACGGCCCACGGGGCTCCTGAGCGCCCCCTGGCGGCTACCTCCGCTGCGCCCCAGCCCCAGCCTCCACCCCAGCCTGAACCCAGATCGGTCCCTGAGCCAGAGCCGGAGCCGGAACGGGAGGCAACCCCTGCCCCCGCTCCGGCTGCTCCCGAGGAGCCTCCCGCACCTCCGGAGTTCCGCTGCCAAGTGTGCGGCCAGAGCTTTACACAGTCCTGGTTTCTCAAGGGCCACATGCGCAAGCACAAGGCTTCCTTCGATCATGCGTGTCCCGTGTGTGGCCGCTGCTTCAAGGAGCCCTGGTTCCTTAAGAACCACATGAAGGTGCACGCCAGCAAGCTGGGTCCACTGCGCGCCCCGGCGCCCAGTTCGGGGCCTGCCCGGGCCCCCCAGCCTCCTGATCTGGGCCTGCTGGCCTATGAGCCTTTGGGCCCAGCCCTCCTCTTGGCCCCGGCGCCCACTCCTGCTGAGCGCCGTGAGCCCCCGAGCCTCTTGGGCTACCTGAGCCTGCGAGCTGGCGAAGGCCGACCCAATGGTGAGGGCGCGGAGCCTGGCGCCGCTCGCAGCTTTGGAGGCTTCCGCCCACTGCCCTCTGCTCTCCCGGCCCGGGCTCGGCGGCACCGCACGGAGGAGCCGGAGGAGGAAGAGGAGGTGGTGGAGGCGGAGGAGGAGACCTGGGCTCGGGGCAGGTCGCTGGGCCCTCTGGCTTCCCTGCACCCGCGCCCGAGCGAGGGGCCAGGGCACTCTACGCCTGCTACGGGGGCCCAGGCAAGATCGACCGCCACGCAGGGTACGTAGGGACCTTCCTCTGACCGGGTACCCCTCATCCTTGGCCATCTCTGACGCCACTACACTCTTCCTGTAGCTTCCTTTTAGAAAGGACCTTTTATTTCTTCCGATATTATTTTTTTTTTTAATTTTTTTCTGGAGGCTTTGCCATTTTCTGAGGACTCTAATTCTTAACTCACAACAAATTCAACACTTCAGGGTCCCTTCAACCCGCTGTTTCCTCCTGGTGCCCGAGGGGAAGCAGTCTTATGGGGGTGGTGGGAGCGCGCGTGGCCCAGACAGGACGAAGGGCCCCTCTGACTTCCTGACGTGTGTATTGCAGAAGAGAACGGGCTGTTGGTTGGAGGGACCCGGCCTGAAGGGGGCCGGGGGGCCACCGGCAAGGATTGTCCATTCTGCGGAAAATCTTTCCGATCAGCGCATCACCTTAAAGTGCACCTGCGAGTGCACACAGGTGAGGGAGGCTTCCTCTGGCGTGGGGAGGGGACTGGAGGGCAGGAAGAAAGGTGAGGGCTAGGGAAACGCCGGAGGTGACTCACCATCGTTCCGTTCGGAAGCCTTCGGATTGGCCAGAGGAGATCAGTTGGGGAAACCTCCCTTTATTAAATTAAAATGGGAGGGAGAGGCAGTTTTTTTTTTCCTGGTCCAGAGAATAAGGTGTGTAAATTGAGTGAAATGCGGGCGAGGGGCGTGCAGTGATCATAACCTCGTGACCCTATCCCACCTACTCTCCCCAGGTGAGCGCCCCTACAAGTGTCCGCACTGCGACTACGCGGGCACGCAGTCCGGCTCGCTCAAGTATCACCTACAGCGTCACCACCGCGAGCAGAGGAGCGGGGCAGGCCCCGGGCCACCCCCAGAGCCACCTCCCCCTTCCCAGCGGGGTTCGGCCCCGCCGTCGGGAGCCAAGGCGGCTCCGCAGCCTGCAACCTGGGTTGAGGGCACCGCAAGCCCCCGGCCTCCTTCCAGTGGTGCCGGGCCGGGGTCCCGTCGGAAACCCGCCAGTCCCGGGAGGACCCTGCGCAACGGGCGAGGCGGTGAGGCCGAACCCCTGGACCTGTCCCTGCGGGCTGGGCCAGGAGGCGAGGCCGGGCCGGGGGGTGCCCTCCACCGTTGCCTCTTCTGCCCCTTTGCCACTGGAGCCCCCGAGCTCATGGCCTTGCACCTTCAAGTGCACCACAGCCGCCGGGCTCGGGGCCGCCGGCCACCCCAGGCTGACGCATCCCCTCCTTATACCCGAGCACCATCAGGATCGACCCCTCCCAGTCCCTTGCAGGAAGGGGAGGAGGGCCCCGGGCTGTCGAGATCGGGAGAGGCGGGGCTGGCGGGGCAAGAACGGTAGGGAGCCCTCTTAGGGGCGATTAGCTTAGTGAGTTTTACCCCGCCGGAGCGGGGGAGCGCTAGAGGTAGTTGGGTAGAGCAGCCAGCAGGGGGCAGCGTGGGACCCATATCCCAGCCCCAGGCGGACCAGAGGTGAGGGGGCGGTGGGCGTATGAAGGTGGGCGGGCGGTACCCACCCAGCCCGAGGGAGTCACAGTGCCTTAGAAGTGGCAGAGGTGAGGGTCAAAGAACGGGGTCCCAGGGCTGGCAGAGAAGGTTGTGTCCCTGTTGAGGAGCCACTCTGCCAGTCTTTGCTGGTCCATAGGCGTGAGAGTTTATTTTTGTACAAGGGGTGGGGGTGGGGGGCACTGTACCCTTCTTGCCCCATCAGGGGCCCTGTAGACGTCGCTATTTTTGGTACGATTCCTGTCATCCCTGTCGCAGAGTCGTGTCCCCAATAAACAGGTGTCTTGAGGCACAGGCCCTGTGTCTGTCTATGTCCTGTCCCCCTCCTTGAGCTCTTATGTCCAAGAAATAGTCACCTTTCACTTAGTTATTACTCAAAGAGTTTGATAAGAAATGCAGAATCTTGGCTGAGCGAGGTGGCTCACGCCTGTAATCCTAGCACTCTGGGAGGCTGAGGTGGGAGGATTGCTTGAGCTCAGGAGTTCCAGACCAGCCTGAACAAGAGTGAGACCCCCGTCTCTACTAAAAATAGAAATAAATTAGCTAAACAGCTAAAAATATATAGAAAAAATTAGTGAAGCATGGTGGCACATGCCTGTAGTCCCAGCTACTTGGGAGGCTGAGGCAGAAGGATTGCATAAGCTCAGGAGTTTGAGGTTGCTGTGAGCTAGGCTGACGCCTCATCACTCTAGCCTGAGTAACAGAGTAAGACTCTATCTAAAAAAAAAAGAAGAAATGCAGAATCTTGGGTTTTACCCTTAGGCTTCTGATTCAGTAGCTGTGGGATAGTCTGGGAGTTCTCATGTACTGTGGCCTGAAGGCCTTGTTTTGAGAATTGCTGGACCACTGGATCCTGGTTTGTCTGTGACCAGCTCAGCCTCAAGAGGTGGGTGCAGTGTGGGATGAGGAACTTCAAAGAATGCATTGAGCCTCTGGTAGCCACTGTGGGGGAGGCACATTCTCCCAGGCTCGTATATAGCCAGCTTTGGGTCGATAAGAGTTGGAGGGTACCTTCCAGCCTTGGTTGTATTTTCTGTGTTGTAATTAAGGATTGGTTGAGCAGAAGTGCTCAAGTTATTGGGATCACCTTTATCTAGAGGACTGCTCTAGCTTCTTGGAGGCAAAGTGTGAGTAAATATATTTAATATAACAATAGTATTATAATAACAGTAATTACATATATAAAGTTTGCAATTCCCAACCCCATCCTCCTATAATGGTTTGCATAGCTCCATTTCCTGTGACCCCCAGAATGGAGTCACCAGGAACTCCAGTTGACCTGGCAGAGATGAGTCTTCTCAGGGAGAGTTGGTGAGGTGAGAAGAAGAGAACACAGGCTGGCAGGGGAGGGAGGGCCAGCATGGGAGTGCTGTCCTGGATACAATGGCTGAGGATGGGGAAGGACTAGAAGAGACAGAATCTTCCTGCCTCCAGGGTATGAAGGCAAGCAATGTGGCCACTCTGGTTCCTGCAGGAGAAGGCACCAAGCTGGGGAGACTAGAGATAGCAGTAGCAGAGTGATGCTCTGGTCCTTAGACTTCCTCTATGTCCAAGAAGCAGAGGGAAGAAATTCAGTGCTTGCCCAGTCCTCCATTATGTCCCACTGCCATCCCAGCCCAAAATATGCTGAGAGGAGGGGCTGCAGCCAAGTTCTGGATCCTCTCTAAAAGGCAGGAGAGGAGAGGGAGATGGGTCAGGAGAGGGAAGAAGCTGATTCCCAAGCATCTGGGGAAAACAAGGAAGGTACATGCAAGATGGAAGAAGTGTTGGACTTACCCAGGTCACAGAGGCGTGGTGGGGTCACTCAGGGCTCGGGCATGACTCTGAGGGGAGAGAAGCTGCAGTGAATTTAGGGACATAATCATATTTTCTCTCACTTCTCCTGATGCCCCAAGCTTGTCGATTCATCTCTCTCTCCTCCCCAGAGTTCTCGAATTTTGCTATTTTAACCCAAGTCCAAATCAGGCCATTGGCATTCTCCCCTTTCCATCCACTATGCTCCTTATTAAAAATTCCTTTTCATCTCTGACCCTTATGCCTCTCAGCTAGTCCTGGGGGAGAGTAGAGTTAGACTGGACAGTAAATTCAATCTGTAGCCTCAGCTGGGAGCACAAGATCACTGTTTCCTCCTGCCCCTTCCCCCAGCCTGGTGGGTTGAATGATCAGAAAAGCCTTCCCGGAAAGTAGCTGAAGAGATCACCCCATTCCCAGCCTTATTGGAGGGACTTACCTGCCGGGATAGCCCTAAGATCCCTCCACTGGCCAGGGTGGGAGTGCTGCTCCCAGGGTGGGGGGGTTGCAGGCTGGGGCTGTTTCTTGGTCCTGGGGACACATCTCCAGAAGAGTCAAGTGTTTCTGGGGCTGAAGGGGAAGCTAGGGTGAGAGCAGGGTATAGAACCCCTCCAGATTACCTTAAGCAACCAAGCTGTTCCGTCAAGGAAGAAAAAGCTCCATAGCAACAGGAAGCTGTGAGTCACCATAGCAATCCAGTTCCAAGAGAACCCCCCTACCAAGAGGCAGGAAATTGTCAGCAGCATCATTAGAGCAACCAGGGAAGAAGCGACAGGAAACTATAAGGATTGCCGTGGTGAACCAGGAGGGTACAACAGGAAGCTGAGGCAGTTTCCATAGAAACCCAAGGAGAGCTAGAGAGAGAGGTACAGAGGAAGTGCTTCTTAGCAACAGGCTGTTGTAAGCATCACCCTAGCAACCAGATGGAAGGCTCTTTTAGCAATGGGGAAGCTGTACATAATTGTCATGGCAACTGGGCTACTTGGCTAGAAAAAGGAATTGCTCAGCAGCAAGCAGCCTGAACATCACGATGACCCAGCTGTTGGGAGCCACCCCTTGAGAGGTGCCTCACCCAGGGAAATTTGCTTGACGTCCAGATCCCAGGCCTCCTCCTCGACGCGGGCAGGCAGGGAGCAGGCTCCCGGCGAGAGGCCGGGAAGGGAGGGGCCGGCATGCTCAAAGGATGACACGGCCACGGAGGCCCGGGTGCGGGCGGCTGCAGAGAGTGGGGAGTGGGGTGGTGGGGTGCTGGTGTGGGAAAGCCCTCATGGCTCCCTGGAGCAACCCTCAGTCTCACAGAGGGCTGCCCAGACAGTCCCACAGATTTTGGGAAGAGATGCCCACTCATTACCCTTCCTGACTTTCCACCACACCTCCCCGTTGGACCCTCATTGTCAAGGTCTTGACTTCTGGGGCCACCCCCCAGCACCCTGGCTCTCACCTCTTCCAGTGAGCAAGGCACTCAGAGTCCGCTCCCCAAGGGCTTTGATGTCCAGGAAGGGTTTGTTCCCAATGCCCATGGAGACCATCTGCTGCACTCGGAGCTCTAAGGAATAGAGACCCTGTTACCAACTTCTTCCTGCCCTCTGCTCCAGCCCTAACACATCATGGTTAGCTCTTCTTTCTGCTCCTTCCCAAGTCTCATTCCTCTGGTATCTCTTGTTACTCTTCCTGTCCACTGTCACAACATGGATGGCGATGGGGGTTGGACTTCCTCCTCAGGTATCTGTTTCTTCTCTCCCATATGTTGTATCCTGCCCACTGGGTATCCCAGCTGCCTGACTTCCCTTCCACTACTCACTTCTCTGTGTCTTGGGCATTCAGAGCAAAACTCACGTTTTACATACCTTTACAGTTTACAAAGTCTTCCCATATATATGTCACCTTACTTAATCCTATCACACTAAGGTGAAGATATTACTATTTAATTTTTCAGTGAGTGGAATGAGATTCAGAGAATTAAAACCAAAGGAAAACCCAGCAAAAAACCAAAAATGAAAACCAAACCAACCAATAAACAACGAGTCCAACTCACACAGCAAGTGAGTGGCACCAGTTCATAAACCCAAGTCCAGTGGGCAGTTTCTCATCTTCTTTCACCCAACCATTTGCTCTTTCGTCCTTGAAATTTTCTAGTTTTCTCTTTCCCTTTGGTACATGTTAGGCTCACTTGTATCTCAGTAATCTCTCTCAAGGCAGATCTTGAATGTTCTTACAAGTCATTCCTTCTTTATCTTATACCCTATTTTCCCAAGCAGTCTCTATGCTCTCCAGAAAACTTCCCGCTGTAACCTTGATTGCAAGCACACCCTCCCTTAGCTCTGCCTAGTACCCTTGTTGTGGGCTGCCTGTCTCCACAGCAGCTGGGCAATGGAACTCGTCCACTTGAGTTTGATCTCTGGTGAGGCTGCCTGCAGAGTGTATGCCTCTCGTGCACGCCGCCGCCGAAACCACAGCTCAAAGCAGAGTCCACTGTCCCCGATGTTTTCTGTCAGCCCCATGTCAGCTGTCTGAGGAGAACAGGGGGAGTGGGTGAAGATGGAGTGAGTCCTGGCTAGGTGGGGAAGCTACACATGGGCAAGCTCTATGCTTAGCCTGGCATCTGCAAGATGTTCAGTAAACATTTGTTCAACACCTAACATGAGCAAAGTGCTCTACATTTAGTCTTCATAACAACCATAATTTATATAAGGGGAAATGAAGCCCAGAGACATGAAGCAACTTGCCCAAGGGCTTATCATAGCTTATTAGAGCCAGAGTGTGAGCCAATATCTATGTTATTCCAAATCTAGGCCTTTTTCTTTGTGCTATACTCCCCCTCTGAAGATCCGGAACTAGCGTGGGGGGACAAAGACTAGAAACGCTTAGAATCCATTCCACACTGCCTGATCCAGGACAGTAGGTTGCTATAAACCAGGGGTCCTCAAACTTTTTAAACAGGGGGCCAGTTCACTGTCCCTCAGACCGTTGGAGGGCCAGACTATAGTTTAAAAAAAACTATGAACAAATTCCTATGCACACTGCACATATCTTATTTTGAAGTAAAAACAATGGGGAAAAACACCCACATTGTGGCCTGTGTGCCATAGTTTGAGGATGCCTGCTGTAAACATTTATCTATCTGGATACCCAGGGCTGTTTCCCTAAAGGGCATTCTTCTTAGGTTCTTTGGTTCAGTCAAGGTAAGCTACGGAAGGTGTCCTTTCTCCTCAGGCCCCAGTAACCACCCCTAACTCAAAAGGTACATGTGTCCTTAGTGGGAAAGGTCCCCTTCCGTTTTGGCTTGAAATGCCTTCTAAGTCTCCTGCATGACTGATAAGGAAAACCCCATGAGAGAGACCAATGACAGGGATTTCTAATGTGCCCTAAGACCCTAACTTGATGGTTGATTACAGGCCAAAGCCTATTCTAGATGATGCAGATTCTGAACGTGAGTTGGGGTTGAATTTCCAGAACATACTGAGTTCTTGAGAGCAGCATGACTATGTGCCCTTCTCCCCACTCC